AACGCTGTCTCACCCGTGATCATTGTCCACGGCTATTTTGATATCATTAAACAATGAACAGAATATGGTTCAAAACAGCAATGAAAACTTAACTAATATAAATATAACTAGAAACATATAAACATGTGCATTACAGTAGTTTAATTAGGAAAATGCAAAAGTTCGTTTAAGAATTCTTCATAATGTCTGTTACGCAAAGGTTCATAAATCTTAAAAACCTTTCCGTAAATCTGCCATGTATGTTCTTTTATCAAGTATTGCAACTTGAATTGTTTCATCAATATATTCATCAGTGTTGCAATTTGAATACATTAAATTTCTCACAATTCATGTTTGTTGAAGACGTTGCTATTCTTCTTCAGCTTCCTGTAGTTCTTAATTTATTAAAAGCCCGTCATACTTAAAAAAGTTCTTTATTGTATTTACTGAGATGCGGTTCCAAGATATCTTTAGCAAGTACAGCTCCTTAAGACGGTTAATTTGCGTTCCTGATTCATTGGTACTTATCTCTGCCATCCATGTTTAGAAAGGACTATTAATGCGCATTCTATGGCAGTAATATATGTTCATCTCCCTAATAATCCATTGGGTACATAGTTGAATTATGGCCATGGAATAAGCTTCAGAGAGACATTTACATTATGAGATGTACGGTTGTCGAAGAAAGACATAGTTCTTCAGTTCGTTATCCCATTTCAAAGGCCATTCATTAATACTGACGCCCTTCACGTTTTGAGTTATATCTGTAGTCTATTATTAAACTCTTTATTATTAATTTAAAGTGTCAAGAATTTTTTCTTTTTCCGATTACAAGCATTTTTTTAACCACACATATTGATGCAGTATAAAAAGGTTACATGGTATTTCGATATGCAACCTTCTGAACTTTGAGTTTTAAACAAATATATATTTTTGGGCTACGCGCGACACTATAGACCTGTTTCGTCTGCATGATAGATGTTTTCAGCATTATACTTTGTAGAAAATTTAGGCCATTAATTTGACAACCATATTCCTGCACAAATCAGCAAATAAATCAGCATCTTTTCCGGTACCATTAATGCGTTTGTAAATAGCATTTACTTATATTGGTTAAACCAGCCATATATTGTTATAAAACTATCTTTTCCATTCTTTATGGTTAATTCTTCAGCCTTTTGTCGCATTAAGGAATAACTGATTGTCACATCTTTTTCATGAACTTTTGTGAATCAAATCTTCAGTGCTTTCTGAATATTGTGCCTTTTCTCTTGCATTTTCGTTTAATGTTTTCACTTTGATTTTGCCTTGAGTTGTAAATAATATCTTCACGAATCTTTAAAATTTTGCGTAAAGGCTATAGAGAAACATTTAACTTACCGAACAGCATTCCGTTGATTGATTTTAGGGAGCAGGTCATAGCGGTCTAATAAATCGGCTTTATCCCTTAGGCTGGGATCATTATGCCTTTTAGTAGTCTGCATATATTTGAAATGATCAAAACAGAGTAAACATGATAGCAAATGATAAGAATAATTCAAACTGACAAAAATGAATAAAAAGTGAGCTTTTCCTAGAACGCAAAATTCATGAAAATGTAAAACTTAAAATACATGAAGAGAATTTTGGATGCATATAAACAAGGTTATCTAGAATTCCAACTCTGTTAAATTGGTTAGTCCAGCTCATTTTCTAAAAATTTGCAAAACGAGTTCCTATTTACTATATTATTTACTATATGGAGGTTTTACTCAGGTTGGAAGAGAATATACCAATATAGAATTTAAAATCTTCTTATACTAACGGGCGGGACTTCGGTTATTCGATAACAATATCCGATTGATAAACATTAACCGCGATCACATTAAGCGGCGTCTACTGTATAAGAAACTATAGTTAGTGATTAAACTGGATGCCGACTTGACGCTAAGCATTACATATTCCTGGTAATTCAGCTCACTCTACTAAATCAAACTCGTTTTCTTTTTTCAAACTCGTTCTTTCTCACCAAAATTTAGAAAAGCATAAAATGTAGGATTCCTTCTTAAAAGGCTTTTCTGACGAAATTAGCAGAAATCCAGTGACGAAAAAGAAGTACTGTAATCGGGAAAAATTTCGGGTATCATATTTCAACGATAATATCCATTTTGACCGCTATCGAATGCAGTTTAACGATGTTTTTGGGTGACATCTGTATGTAAGGAGAGAAAAAAGGACTCGTTTCCCCCCCAAAAAAAATATAAAACTGATTTAAAATGGATTCTGAAGAGAATTTTTCGTGGCGTCTGTACGTAGATACGTATGTATGTATATATCTCGCAAACTCAAAAACGAGTAGCCTCAGAACATTGAAATTTGGTATATAGGACTGCTATAAGATATAGTAGATGTGTACCTCCCATTTTGGTTGCAATCGGCCTCACCAAAAGTATATAAATATATGTATATACCCACTCTGTTACTCGGCTCAGTGACACAGTTTCTTTATTCCTATATGTTTGTAAATTGTGCAATTTTTTTGCTTTAAAATGATTGCATTATGTTATTCTTATCTTCCGATTAAAGTTTTTATGCCTTTAGTTTTCCTGCATGTTATAGCTATACAATTATCAGCAATTTAAATGTTGTTTAAAGGCGGCTAAGCGTTATTTTTTACCATAGCAGCCATATTTGTTTACATTTGAAACTTAGCAGAATAGTGGATTTGTTGCCAATCTAGAGAAAACTAAGCTTCGCAACAGTAAAGTAACGTCTTCTTTTATTATTGCGAATTAAATTATGCTTAATACATTCTGTAATTATCATTTAAGTTATTAAATTATCTCATATATTGACTCAGCAGAGCGTTCACAAAAAATCAAGTCAGTTTCTCAGCCTTCAGGGTCTTTTTGCCGAGTGAGACCAAAAGTAAACTTTCAGTTTTGTGAACCGAAAAATCTGCTTCTTGCGCGCTGGCCGAATTGCTTGTTTGTGCATAGAAACTGTAATTTTATGTGTAAAAAAAATTTTTTTTTAACTGTTTTAACTCTGTTTGGTGTTTTATGTTTTTCTATATCTTTCAACAGCTGAAGGAGAAATATATCTCTAATGAAATTCGAAGAAATAAGTTTAAATGAAAGGCAGAAAAAATGCATATAATTTAATATTGCGCACAAGGAAGTCATGTGGTGTACACATGAGATTTTTTTTGTATGTGTCTGTATGTACCTCCAAAAGATACTTCGGAGCTAGAAGATATAATATCCAACAGATTCACTACGAAATCAAACCTAGATAGATAAATTAAACTGTGAGCGAAAGCAATTTGGTTAATTGTGAGTGGCGTAATTAAGTGATATAATATTCTAATTTTCATACCTGGAAAAATTGATTAGAGTTTATTGGGTAGTCATAAACAGTATTCTAGTCGGCTTATTTCTTTAAAAATGAATTACTTTTGATTTTGCATTTTTTCATATATTATAAAATATAAATGTATTAAAATGAATTTACTCACCGTGATATTTATCCTGCAAAAATTAGAAAACTATTTTTTTTATAATGAAGGCTCCTTTTAGTTCCAAATTTAATAATAACAATATTTTTGAGTAAATCTGGATTTCACGTATCTTATTACACTCAGTAATAACATTGTGTAGTGATTTTTATAATTATTAAATTTGCATTACATTTTTTTCAGTTAATCATTAAATGTAACACTTACTATTAACCTAAAGGGCGCTAGCCCAGAAGGGCTATTAATTTCTTTTCGGCATTTTGCGTCGAAAACTTTAAACGCCCTTTTCACATTTCAAATTGTTGCTACCAAATATTATCGCCCTGTTTTATATTTAAAGAAATTAAATAAGAAGAATCTACTTATGTATGTTTCTCGCATTGTGTTAAAACAACGGTACCTAAAAAGCCATCGAATTTTGAATAACGTAATCTTTCACCGAATATGGGGATCTGGAAGCCTTAATTTGAAATTTGATTTATTATCGATTTCATTTTTTGTAACATTTTAACGAATTTTTGAACAACAAACTCAACGATTTCAAAACGAGCAATGGCAACACTGTGTACCAAAAAAAAATCTCCAGCGCGCGAGGCTGTGCATCGGAAATTCTAAAGACAAGCTCATTTTAAAATTATTTTGCGATATTGCTGTTGAATTGAATTTTATGATTTAAGTGCGAAAAACATGATATTGAATAAATAAGGTAACACACAGAACGTTAAAAAAAACCGTTCCTTTGGGCGTAATGTAAAATTTGAAAGCTTACAGATTTTTTTTAATGTTTGTTTTCTCATTTATTTTTAAATACAAAACAGAAAACAATAGCCATGATACCAAGAAACAAATATCAAGGAAAAAGGAATATATGTATTACATATTTTGTATATGCTTTTATAAGAAATGAAAAATCATCCGTTCATTTTCATAAATGCCCTTTTCTGCTTAATAAAAAAATGATAGTTCTTTGAGTTTAAATTTTGTTTAGTATGATATTTACCGAGTGATATAAATTCTATTGTAAATATTAAACCTGAAGTAAACCGATAAGGATACAAATAAATTTAAACAAGAGAAAATAATTCCGAGTTAAAAATTTTCTTTACTTTTAAAGAATACAAATTAAAACAGATTTTTCCGGATTTGAATATTTTTCTAGATTCGTTGTAACAATGTTTTAACAAAAATTTATTCAAGCAATGTTTTATGCAATATATTAACAGTTTTACACGAACATGTAGAATTGAAATATTTCTGAAATTTCCTCGTTAGCTCGTAGATGCCTTTAATAATAAATCATAATATATTTTCATTATTTCATTATTATATGCATTATTTCACATTTCAAATTAAATACATCGCTACTTCTGTTCAAAGCCTTGAAAGTGCTAATTTAAGAATTGCTAGAATAACTTGGGTTAAATCATGAAAAAAATTACAGAATTTAAACTAATGTTTTTGAAAGTTAGATTGCAATAAAATAATTAATTTCTTTCTTCATATACATTACAAAATAAAGCCTTACCTCTTTTAAAAATCCTTCAGTACGAGCACAGAATAATACACAGTTAACATATACTCATATTTAAGAACTAGACATACGGCACTTCTAAACAATTGCAAACGACTTTTTCTTTCTACTTGACGCACGAAGCAGACAAAGTAAACTTTTCCGAATGCACTTCGCTTACTCAACTCAACTCTATGTTACTTCAGAAACCTAAAAAAGCCTTTGGGTAACCATTAAGGAAAAGAAACACAGAAAGAGAGAACTAGACCGGTGACCTGGTTATCTAAGGGCCAATGCCCCAAATTCGAACCTTGTCCCAGACCCCATTCTTAAATTTACACAATTCTACAACGGATATTTTTGTTTCTGCTTCACATTAATGAACATATAGGCTTATTTAAAGGTAATCGTTATCGTCACGTGGTTCCAGAAGGAAGGAAATGTATGGATATGTAAAAAAATAAAAATGAAAGGGGGAATAAAACTTCTTGCCCTCTGGCATTTTCCGCCATTTTGAGGAACAATTTGGGATGTTTTTCTGTCCCAGCGAAATGAAGAGTAGAAGGTTCGTTTCAAAATGTCATTCACTTTTCTTCGCAAGCACTTTTTCTCTTAAGTAGTAAATAAATAAGGAATTTCTTTGTTTCCAACAGAGAACATCTGCAGCTAAAAACGATTTTATAAGCTTTTATCCATGGTAAAATGATTTGCTGTAAATAAAATACTAAAGCTCTATGTTCGTTTAATTAAGAATTTTTACTGTATTTATATGTATTCCTCACTGTTAAAAATGTTTGCAACTGTAGATACATAATTATTATAATAAAGTTTCATTTTCCGAGCAGTGTTATTCTCGAGACTTTACACGGGAAAAAATTGCATATGCTTCAGATGAAGAAATTCCCACTATTATTCCTTGTTTATAAAATATTCAGAAGATTGCGAAATGTTTTCCCTAATGTGAAAAAGGTAACATAACAATTTATCGAGCCATATATTGCTTAATTATTACTGTCCCAGGAGATTCAAGATTTCGTATCTCAAATATCTCCAAGGATTCCAGGAACTCGAAGATTCAAATGTCTCATCCCTAAAATAAAGCATGTAGCTAATTTTTATGAACCCTTAAAGTGTAAAATTGGGTTTGATTCTTTTCGAAAGTAGATACAAAAAATAAATTAAAAATCCCTAATATAATAAATAACTAAATTGTAATCCTTTAAATTTACTTTGACGAAATTATAAATAGGAAATAATAAGAATGTTGAAGATATGTAAATGCATAAAGTAGTAGCACTAACGGTCGGGTCTAATATTTCTTTTATTTTCGATGAAAAATATTTTTTAAGCCAACACAGATAAATTGGTTCAGACTGCGCGCGTGTTTTTGAAGAACTACATTAATACTTTTTAAACTTTATAAATATATTCCAAGAAGTCGCCCAGTCTATAGTGGTTAGGGGACCCGACTTCGGTACCGAAAGGCCCGGCTTCGAATCCCGAAGAAGGCATGGACGTAAACTGTGTGTCCTCTCATAAGAGGTAAACGGTGGCCACCTATTAGGTGTCTCCATAATAAAATGACCACCACTTCTGGCCTTAGTAGTGGCGAAAGCCTCAAAATGTCACACCAAATGGCAAAAAAAAATTAAAATTGCAACACCATGAAGGAAAGCAAATACAAAAAAAGATATTCATTGTACGTAAACAGTATGGCATGAAGACAAAATGATTACATTTGTAAACAGTTTGGGGGCTAACAGGGGGACGAAATTAGTAGGAACAGCTGCCACACCTGACAACTAAAACGGCCCTTGCACGGTTAGGCACGGAGTCGAACAGGGCTTGGATGACAGAAACGGGCCAACTCACTTCATGCTGCTTCAGGTCTATACCACACTTCATCAACCGTTATTAGCTGAAGAGGGGTGGCTTGCCAGTCTCTCAGCAACTCATGACCAGATAATTTCATTGGATGACAGATCTCGGGACCGTGCAGTCAAGGCAGCAGTCAAGGCTGTGTATCGAGGAAAGTCAGAACACGATGTGCAACATATGGTCTGGCATTATCTTGTTGGAAGATGGTGTTTGGCAGGTCTCGAAGATAGGGCATAACCACTGGACGTAAGACTTAAAAAAAATGTGACGATCTCAAAATGTAACGATTTCAAATTACCGTCGTAGAGATGTGCGTGTCGTGTGCACAATGGCTGCTCAAACCATCACACTAGGTGCAGGGCCACTATGCCGATATCGAATGCAAGTAGGCGATGTGCAGTCTCCTTGGAGCCTCCAGATACGTATACGGACATCAAAATACCGCACACAGAACCGGGACACGTCTGAAAACACAGTAACGGTCACCGTGCTGATAGTCTACGCTGCTGCAAACGCCGACCCTGAGTAATGATCCGTCATGTGGTCTTACGGCTTTGCAGGGCTGACCTCACAATATGTCTGCCCTCTCCGGCGTCAGTCATGGGAGGGCGTTGAGATTCTGCATGCCGTTCAGTATGACCCTCAGCAACCCATTGATTCCCTATTCGCATGACAGTGGTTGGATATCGACCAGTGCAACGGGCGATATTACAGAACGATGAACCTCACCTCGAAAGGCAAAGATTGTGCCTCAATCGAATTCCGACACTTGCTGGTAAGCATTTCTTCTTATTATTCGAAGCATAACAGGATATTCTGAGCACACCCCGACCTTACAAAGCGCTTTCCGAATGAGAAACCCACTACACAACTTTTCTTGTTTGCAGTGCTTTAGATGTCGTTTCTCCCTTCCTGCATCGTCTAAATGCGCTGAAATACTAATCCCTTGCATATACCAATTTCTTCTTCCTTTCATGTGATTTTGACGTTCGTTAGATTATTCCTTCCTGGTGTTGTATTTTAATGGCCATTTCGCCAATACTAAGGCGAGGTTATTTCAATATAATAGGCGGCCACCGTTACCTCCTGTGAGAGGACACACAGTTTACATCCATATCTTCACGGAATTCGAACCCGGGCAAGTTGGCAATAGTAAAGTGAGAGAGAGAATGTGACGTATTCATGATGAAAGCTCAGATCAAAAGGATTTAGTTTTAGCTCAAATTTGTCCCTATTATATAGTTTTAAAGTTTGATCCCCAAATTTCAAGTTACTTTTAGTTGAAGTGTTATGTAAGTGCCTGCGTCATTATTGTTATACAGAAATCCTATGACAACCATTATTTTAAAATAAGGTAGTTGAGAGGTTTATTCTAAGTAGTTACCACTTTTAAGACTGAAGGAGGAAATATCCAAATTAAAATTGACAGCTGATGGATTGTTGCATATTAAAGCCAGTATTTTGATTTAACTTTATTTTCCTACAGATATTTATATATAATTATGCTTAAAACATAATTATTATAATATTTATATATAATTATGTTTTATGCATAATAAGAATAAAATTCCTTAATTATCTTACATTTGTTGTAAAAATGTAAATAATCAAAAAGGCATCGATCGGAAGTGTTGTTCCCACATTGAAACTTCTCACATTGAAATAGTTTATTCAAGGTTGTAATTTATAATGGCGTATATCTTTTTATTAAATTTTAAGTGGATATGAATGAAAATATTGAAGTGGAAGTATAAATTGCTTTTTTCAATTAAATATTTATTCTTTTTTAAATTTTGAGCTATATGATTTATTGATTCTTAATTTTATGCACTAAAATTAATTATGGTATTACTCATGTAAATAAAGTGTACATATTTCTGTGTCAAAATCATTTGCCTTTGCATTAAATGATTTTACAAACTTTTCTTTTTGAAGAAATTCAGAATCGTTGTTACAGGCATAACACACAAACCTAATGTTGCAATTCAGTTGACAGCGCAAAGGTATTTGCTGCTCATAAATAATGGCGATTTATGAAGATAAAAATACGACTGTTCGTGCTACTTCTTTACTGTCAGTGTGTATTTTTTACTGTAATCATATCCAAATGCAGTCTCTTTAGATTACACTTTTGGGGGAAAGGAGGTTGGTTTGGTTTAGTTTATTTAAATATGGCAAAGCACACGACGGCTATCTGTCTAAAGGGAGAGATGCCTTCATGGAGGACTTTCTAAGAGAAACTGGCTCGTATACACGTTACAAATGGGGAAAACCACGAAAACGCCTATGCAGCCAACCCGTTCGCGGGATCCGAACCTCGGACAGAACTACCAGTGTTCAGCGACTTTACCGCTCGGCCGCTGGTGGGCCACTCTTTCCAATCAGTGTTTTAATAATTTGTCCACTTGATTGATTGAACAACAATTGAAAATAATATGTCAAATTGCTGTCATTTTTTTCCCACAATTCTATAAACAGAGGAAGTTTCATTCTTTAGTAGTATTTTCAATGTAACTAATCTCAAAGTAAGTTAAAACAAAGGCATAAAGTTATTTCAAATGATACTTATATTACACGTATATTTGGCTTTCTATTCTCTTATGGTGAGTTCATCATAAACAGGCTAGGAATACTCATAAGGTAATATTGATTTTAACCAATTCTTCAGAATTTTTTCGTGCTTTAATTTAAGGTCTATGTAATTAACATTTCAGAGCATTGTTGCAATGAATATTATAGACTACACTGCTTTTTTAATTTTGAAAATTACATAATGCAGTTATTATTATTCACGTTTAAAGTTGTGTTGATGGAAAACTTACATGTCTCTGATTTTATGTATTAAACTTTAAATGTTATATTTCCTTTACGTTAAATAGTTGAAGCATAAAGTCAAACTGCTCGCTATATTTATTGTGATGCTGATACTTTGCATTAATTCTGATGTTGTCTATTTCAGATTAACCGAGGGTTCATTAACCGGGTTGCGGATTAGCTACCCGGTTAGTTAATTTAAGTTTTTTATTGCGAAACGATGACAAAATTGCTTTTACAAACCATCAGTACAAAACAAAACTGTGTACGGAAAATACAAAAAAGGGGTTTGGTTTGGTTTATTTGATTACGATAAAATACACTCGGGCTACCAGCCTAAGCGAAGGGATGCCTTTTTTTCGAGGGAGAATTGGCTCATATACGTACTACACATGGGGAAACCACAAAAATGCCCATGCAAACAGCCTGTCTGGCTGGAATTGAACACAGATCGGAACTTAAGTGTTCAACGACTTAACCGCTCGGCCGCAGGAGGGCCTACAACAAAGAGG